CCCGCACTTTCCACACACCGCGCGGACTTCATTTCCGCACATCGCCCCTTTCCTCACACCACCATCTCCCTTTTCTCCTTCCCTCCGTACATTTACTTTCTTGTATATACGTACCGCTGCGCTAATTTATTTGACTGCTGTCCCGCTCACTTGCGTCGTTCGGTGCGCCCTTTCGGCCCTGCCCCACGTGTCGTGACTCGTCCGCGCCGCCCGCCTCAAGCTCGACCGCGCCCGCGCGCCTCACTTGCTTCCCGCCACCACCGTCTCCTCGACTGCTGCAACCCACGCCCCGATTGCCTTGGCTGCCAGGTCTGCGCTCCGCGGCGCGTTTCGTCCCGGGCGCAGTGCGCCGCTTACCGCCCCAACTTCGACCGCGCGCGCCTGGCGCGCGCTCTCCCTCCCCGCCGCCGCCACTTCAAGCTCCCTAACCGCTCAGGCAGCCTTCAAGGGCCCTGCAAATGCCCCACCACAACCCACAAACGAGCTCCCCCTTCCTCGCAGCTGCGAGTGCTGTTAACCCGTGTCTCGGTCCTCGGGTGTGAGCCAACGCGGCTGGCTCTGGTAATCGTCAAGTGTGTGGCTAGCTGGAGCTAGCATTGGGTTACGAGGTCGTCAGGTACGTCGTCATACGCTCATTGCACGAGTTAGTGGTAACGAGATACAGTACAGTATCTCCATTCTTCACATAGTCGAGGACTCGGCGTCTCTTGCAATCATCACATTTTCTGCATCGTACAATGTCATGGATATCTGGTTGTAATATGTACAGTACTATAAGCCTAGTCCCTGCTATGCACCACTCCTTGTTGTTTTGTACATCCCGACTGGCTAGGTCGAATGTCAGAACTGTTGGCACAGCCAGAACCACCCGCTGTGCGCTCGCATCGGCTTCAAAAGGATAGGTCATCACCAGCAGAAGCGAGCCCAGTCCAAGACATAATGTATGATGATGGCAGGTCATAACATTTCCAAAATCGTAAATGCGTAAGCTAGTGGCAATCGTAAAAACTAGTAAAGACGAAGATAGTCCGCGATGATCATCTCCTCCTTCTCAAAAACCTGACCTGTGATGCAACTTTGCACGGTTGCTTCAAAACACCCATCACAGGAACCGAGACTCTCGCGGCCGGCCGGGTCTTGGAGCGCTGGGAGAATGCTGGCAAGCACTATACTGTCGCGTGGGTGGAACAGTAGGCGCGGTCCCATATTGCTCCACATCTCGTACCAATTGACGCGGCAGCTAATGGATCCTGTGCATTCTGCACCTGACTCGAAAGGGAGTGGACGAAACGCGATGGACGCGCGGTAGTCTAGGATCTCGTCGTAGGCCTTGTCGAGACGCAGGAGGTTCGTCACACCGAGCTCGGTGCGCTCGGCCTCTGTCAGCTCTCCGCGACGCTTCCAGAGGAAGTAGCGGAAGGCTTCTGTGACCCACGTCTCTACATGGTATCGAGCACCGAGCGTGAATTGCAGTGCGAGGGACCAGTCTTGACAGTTGGGGAGCTCGTCCTTGGCAAATCTTGAGATCTCGGCGCAATCCCAAACCTCACCCATGTGCAAGAGGAGGCGTAGCGCAGGCATGTTCCCCGTAAGCGCGCCACGGCTACTGACCTGTCAGACAGTATACAAAAGATAATACAAGAGGTAACACACCGGTCCCAGAAGTAATCAACAATGGCTGCAAGCTGTGCGCCGTCGAGCATGTGTACGTTGACAGCATTATCTTCAGTTTGGCCCTCCGTACTGTCCGGGGCTTGAGGGAGCGTGAATATGCGTTTGAGGAGGTCGACGCGGTACATCATGAGGGATACGGGTATATAGTGCGTGAGACCGTCATTCGTCTATTTTATTAATGAGTCAGCTCGGATGCCGGTGCTTTGTGCAGGCATAATTGACGCACCTTGAACCACAGACTTCGGACATAGATGCCTGTTCCCGACGCACTCAGGGGTGTCGCAGGCTGTGAGAGGACTTGTGAGAGGCGGGGAGTTGGCGGGTCTTGCATGCAGTCCAAAATGTGAAGGGGCAAGACTGCGTTGTCAGACAAAAGCTCAGCTGTATATAAGTTCTTCAATCATAGTCCTATGATGGTGGGAGTCGAAGGCAGGAGAACGCGCATCGCGCACGCCGCCCGCGCGCTGTTCGGAAGCACTGATACGCCTTGACCGCAACATCGATCACGCTCCCTCTATTTTGTTCAATGAATGCTGCAATCAACCCCGAGCCAGTTTGGGACCTTCGCGATCTACCCGATCTACCAGCTGCGTCAGAGTTGGGTTGGTCTGGTAGCATACAGACCGCTCATCATCTCATCGCAAGCACCTTCCAACTTGCGATAAAGCTACTTCGGCAGGAGGACAGTACCACCGTTCAGTTACGGATGCTGAGCCAGCGCCTCGCGGAGGACATTGTACCTCTACTCATGGCTCTCGTCGATGAAATTGGCAGCCATGAATGGGCCGAGGGCTGTGCCCATGCCATCGGAGGCGTTGTCTTGAGGTTGAAGGATGCGGCAGATAGGGTACAGAAGATGTATGTCTAGTGTCATCTACCTATGGAACAATGCTCTGAGTCTGGTCTCAAGCGAGACTGCAAACGTGCATACAATCACTCCGGTCAAACTTGTCCGCCTAGCCGCTACAGGGCGTCCGCGAAAGGAGATTGATCTTTCCTTCCTTCGCAATGCAACTTCCCCTGCACGTAAGATCACGCATGCAGAGCTTGCAGCCGCGCTTGGCATGAGCCGGCAAACATTTTACGCTCGCCGTCGCGAGGCTCGGTTACCGCCTCGATACGCTGATCTGTCAGACGACGAGCTTGATACGCTTGTGAAGCTCTACAAGCTTGTCAAACCCAACGCTGGCCGGAACTTCACGGACGCGTTTCTTCGCCGCCATGGTTTCCGCGTGCAGATGAACCGCATACGTGGCTCCCTCCGACGTGTTGATCCGATTGGCCAGAAGCTACGAGAGCATATCACGGTCAAGCGTCGTGAATACCACGTACCGGGCCCGAATCACCTCTGGCATGCCGATGGGCATCATAAGTTGATCCGCTGGGGGATCGTAATACACGGGTTTATTGACGGATACTCTCGCACTGTATGCCATCCATCATCTTAGAATAGTAGCATATGAATGAGATAACACATAGGTCACTGGGCTTCGTGCTGGCAATAGCAACTCCGCAAGCACGGTGCTGAAAGTCTTCAAAGAAGCAACTGACCAGTACGGTATTCCGTCTCGGGTCCGTGGTGATCGCGGAGGCGAGAATCGTGACGTTGCAATTGTCATGATTCTTGTCCAAGGACCTGATCGAGCAAGCTTTCTCTGGGGCACGTAAGTACTGGTCCTTACCATCTGCTATGTATCATATGGTTGAAAATGCGCTCAGATCAACAAACAATCAGCGCATTGAGCGACTCTGGCTCGATTTAGGAATACAGACCATTCGTCAGTGGCGCGCATTCTTCATGCGACTTGAACGCCTGCACCATTTGGACGTCAAGAATCAAGCACATCTCTGGCTGCTGCACAAACTGTTCTTACCTCTCATTGATCAGCAGTGTCAGTCTTTCAAAGCAGACTGGAATGCCCACAGTGTGTCGACAGAGAGCAATCGAACACCAGACGTATGTTGATAGCTATTACTTGATCAACTGGCGGGATTAACTCCGTGCACAGGACATGCGCCTTCTCGCGAGGTTACGGCAAGGCATCTATTGTCGGCATGGAGACGACGCCGCACCGGCTGATTCATTGAACGGCATCTCACCTCCTGTTCGGGTCGGTGATGCGTTTACGGAGGACAACATTCAAGAGCTGCAGAGATCACTGGGATTTGAGGAACATCCCTTGGCGCCTGATGCACCGTCAAAGTCCTCACTCTCTGTAGCTACAGCCGAAGAATCGAGTGAGGATGAAGATTGGCCTGATGACCAGAGCGACATTGACCGACTTGCGCGCTCGATCGCCGAGAACATGGAAGCGAGCATCCGACACAAGCCCGTACACGTTCCTCGCTTTTCAAATCCATTTGCCGGTGATCCTGACCGCGAAGCCCACTTTTGGGAAGGCGTCGACACGCTGCGGAGTGCGGAGACTATACCTGATGGGTTTAACCTTCTCCCCGAAGAGCTGCAGACCGGCTACCCTGAGTTCGAGGACATTCCCGTTGGGCGGCGTAAACTGCGCACACAGCGCATCCACCTCCCGTCCCAAGTATGGTTCAACCGAGCTGCCCATTGGTCACAAGCTCTAGCTCTCTTGACAGTTGATACTACACTCTAGTTGTATCTTGTCCTTTGTGATTGCCACCATCATGTACTTTAGTTAGATGTACTTCATATACAACCATTCGGGTTTCACACCTCCAGCCATCGAACGCCTCGTGTTCGCGTAGCTCTAGCTGCCGACGCGACTCGGTCATTCGAGCCGAGGCATCTCAGCCCTAGTATATATAAGTTTGGACATACAGGCAGAGGCTCTCTTGGTTCTGGATCTTGGTGACCTCGACGACGCTCACTTGTCTCACCACACTCTTTCATATGGCTTGCGGTCACTATACTTCACCCGCCACTGACTCCGTCGGCTTGGACTGTGCTGACTGCGGCTGCTCCTTCGCCACTCACTTTTCTCCTCAGGAGCTAACAGCCATGCTCCTATCTGCACAACAGAATCGACCTTCCTCCGCATCTAGTTCCTCACAAGCGTCGGTGCTTCCATTAGCAGGTGCGCAGAAGTTACCTTTGCCTGTGTAATCCTTTCATTAGTAACTGTGTATCAGGACCTGGCCCTTCGACACAGACTTATCGCTCGGGTTCTAGCACCTCCGACAATGCGAAGAGCAAGACGTCTACTAGCAAGCCCTCGAACACGTTCCAGGAGATCATGTCCGGCCTGCGTGGTCCTACTTGGGCGGGCACAGTTGCAACGTCAAGTGCGTCATCAGACGCAGCTGTTCAGCGCGCTAGAGACGAGGCCGTTGGTGGTCTCCAGGGCCGGGAATCCAGCAAGAGTCCTCGGAAGCGATCTCGGCGCGACTCGTCACCAGAGCCACCACCTCAGCGCAAGTCAAGTAACACCAAGGGCAAAGCTCGCGCAACTTCGGGCGCCCAAGGCCCCGGACGGGAGGCTGGGCAGTTTAAGGTATGTTCGTTGATCATTAGTATGTGGTGAACACGTACTAATGCTCATATGAACTGGGTGCAGAAGAAGAAAATGGGGCGTCCAGCAAACGTCATCGCCGCACAGGGCGTCCCATCCTTGTTCTTCATCTTCGCGGGTCCGTACGTGGAGGCTGGCCGGGTAAGCTCACTTCATTGTATCACACCACAATCATGACACTCATGTACATGGGTTGTAGAATGGACAGAAGAAGCTCCCGTCTAGTTCGGAACGTGCACCTAGTGAAACCGACTTTGAGAATGCACTGGGTTACGGCCAGGCTGTGCGCAACACCCTGCATCCAATGCTGATCGATCCCGCGGACTCACACGAAACCGTCATGGACAGTATTGAAGATTTTGCTCCCGAGATGTTCCGGTACATGGATCTCTTCTATCCTGACGCGCGCAAACAGCTCTTTCTTGCCTTCAAAGACGGAAGGTCAAAGGTTATGGGACTTGTGCAGAAGCAGGAGTTTACGGGCGCGGACGTCCTCACACACCGCTCACCGAAGGCTGGTGATATCAGCAGGAAGGTTGTATATCTTGGTACGTCGTCATCACCGCATAACCTTGAGGAATGACTCGCCCTGACCAGTTCTCCCACATCACAGCCATCTTTGCGCCGTTCAGGGAACGGAACATGTCGCGCTGGGTGGCAAAACAGTGCCCGTCCAAACGTCGCCTCGAATACGCACCCGATTTCGATCCGGATGCACTGGAGGACGAGTTATCCTTCGATGAGGGAGATGCAGCGTCTGATAGTGATGGTGACGGGCTCTCTCCTAAGGAACATTGGCGGCGTTCTTTAGGAAAGCTGGACAACAAGGGCAAGGGAAGGGCATCAGGTGCATTGGGTACAGCTTTCTAATAGCTTCTCCTTTCTGACAATGACTTAGAACCGTCTGCTGCAGCTGGCGCTGAGCAGTCCTCACCGTCGGAGCCCACTCCTGTACCCACTCCTCGCATCTCCCCCCGCACACTACCAACCCCAACTGCACCCGAACACAGGTCCACGGGAATGTCTGACCAACTGGCGCTTTCGGCCGATGAACGTCGCCAGAGTGCGTTCACCGTCATAGCTATCAAAGCACTTACTGACACGTACTTCAATCAGCCGAGCGCCGGCTGGTCCGCGCAACTAGTAGTCTCGCGTCATTCTCACTGGGGACTGCGGCAGAAACCACGGAGGTGTTAACGGGTACTACCGATGCATTTGCGCCAGGCTTGTTAGGGGAAGACTGTAAGTCTACCTCGTCTCTGGGTGCACTACTATCTGTCTAACCTCTGGCTTCAGTCGAAAGCGCTCTTTTCAATGATTTTGGGTCTGGGCATGTTGAAGGTGTGCTACTACGTCTCTGTGACTAGTTGACAATACTCAACGCTAGACTTCTCCGCGCAGATTATCCTCTCGGGTTACAGCCCTTTCCTGGTGCCCAATCTACCCCTCATCCCCAGTGGGAACGCCGCGTGAGCGGACGTGTCCTGCGGTGATCCGACGCGCGCTGCTGGGGGCACGCTGGCGTACGCGTCCGCGTTGTCGACGCGGAAACCGACGTGAGCGCAGGTGAGTGGGCGTGCGCGACCACCACAGTCAAAGGGATAGCTAGATGCCGCAACCGTGTCGTAGCGTTGGGTGGCGTAAATCTACGACAGTCTTGAAAACCTCACACAGGCTCACTTTCACATCATTCCCTTTGCTTCCCTCTTCCTCACGTATGCTCGCGTATCTCAGCGTAACGTTCGAATATAATAATGAGCGTCACTACGTAGCACATCCAAGCACCAATATATTTGTAAGAAATGTCTCTTGTTTTCCCTGCACCCATCACCCTGTCCCCTTCGACTTTTCGGCCTGTACGAGGACGATCAGAGCTGTTGAGATAGGATAAACCACTTGCTCACCTTTGCTTTGGCACGAGACACCGCGAGCGCTTTCTTCCAAGGCTGTCATATGATCAGTATTTGGTAAGCACTATATGCGCGCAAGAGAACGAACCTCGAGTTGAGCGGGATCTGCCTGAACGGTTTTCCACCGTTCGAGCGCCTCCGCCTTCGTCAGTGTGTCTCTGAGTTTCGGATCCTGTTGAAGGGACCTGAGATACTCTCCCCTACGCAAATCTTAGTAAAAGACCGAGCAGATATTGACAAAGCGCCATGCGTACCTCTCCGATTTGGCCTGGGACTGTGTCGTGTCATCTTTGAGGAGAGGGCCTTTAAACTTCTTGGGCGGGCGCTCCTCGGGATCACCAGGTGCTGGGCGGACCCTGCCACGATTGACAGGGCTGAAACAAGATGAGTGCGTCATCATTAGATGGGTTCAAGGAGTGGACATACAGAGTACTGGCCTGAGTTGCGGGGCTCGAGGTTGTGCACCCCGGTAGGGCGACAGGTGCAGGGTGTTGAGTGGCGTCGGTAGCGCGTGCGTGCGGTACTGTTTCGGGTAGAGGGTTTGTCGGAGCAGTATGGGCAGGTTGTGGCGGCGCTATCACCCCGCAATCCGCGGAAATCAGTCGACCGTATAAAGTTCTGCGGAGATATGACGAACCAATGGTCGGCGTGTCCGTCTTCTGCTGTACGAATGCACCCGCAACATTCTCAGGCGCGCCTGCCTGTTCCACCAGATCATGCATCTGTTCCCCATTCGCCACACCTTCTGCCAAATGTGCAGCCGAATGTGCAACAGAGGTAGCAATGGGTGCGAGCGCAGCGAGCAGGGAGGGATCTACGGCAACAGGTTTGGGGATGGAATCAGCGGGAGCGAAGATGGTGGCAGTATCGGGATGCCCATCCACGAAGGAAGAAGGCGGCGCGGTGGGAACTACGGCACCTGGTGCCGCCGGGAGCGGCATGGGCGCTACCTGGGATGTCTTTGTGCCTTGTTCTTGTTCGGACACGGGCTGCAAGGTTTTGAGAGGTCAGCAAGCTATAGGGGGAGCGAACTGGGATGCACGTACTGTTGGCGCCGGTGTCATAGATTCTCGCTATAGGGGTGTGAACACCACAATGATGGCAGAGGCAATATGACAACATACCTTCTCAATATGGTATTGAGCCTTGTCCAGGTTGAGCGTTGCGAGCGCAACCTCCAGGAGCTTGGCAGCCTCCTTCGATCTCGCCTCCTCCTCCTTCTTTACAGCCTGGGAAGCAGCCTTGGCAGCCTTCTCCTTAGCGGCCTTGGTCAATCCATGCTTCTCAGCCCAGTTTCTGTACACCGCGAAGATCAGCGCGTCCAACTTCCATGTGCCATTGTCGCAGAGCCCGAGAAAAGGCCACCGTGTGAGTAGGTTGACGTAGAGAAAACCGCGAGACATGGCATCGAGACCGTCAAATGTCTCTGTCGCTTGCCCGAACATCCGCAGGCAGTTGAGAAGGGCCTTGACATACTCCCGAATGATCTTCGCAAGCTCGTTAGACACGATCTCACCCAACTCGTCTTCCATGAAAGACTGGCCATGCATGTTATGGTCGGGGTGGTGCGTCTTCGAGCCTGCGGGGACGCCAGACTTGTACTGCTCTTCGGTATACCACCGCATCGAGCCATACAACTTGTCCCACTCATCCCGAGGGATGCCCTTTGGCCAACGCTCGTGCCCGAACCCTAGAACATGGCGAATACACTCATTCTCATGAGAGCATGAGGCGGCCAGTGTAGCCGGTATCTTGTTGAGAAGGTCGTCTTTGATTTTACTGGAGATTGTATAAGCAATAGCGCCATCGAAAGCCAAGAGACCACCCGTACTTTGTGACATTGAGTTCCACGATAGCGCTCTTCAACTTGGTCTCCATGTCGGCGTGAAGGGCGATGAGCTTCATGTACTGAGCATGACCCCATCTAGCAGTGCAAAGTCGTTGATAGCAGTGAATGACAGATTGATTGAGGCCGTTAGTAAAGAAAAATGACAGGTGATCACCCTGCGAGTTTAATATATCACCCTGCGAGTTTAATATATTACTATTCTCCCGGCAGCAGGCTTTGGCAGACAGGGCATCCAGTGCTGGTGTAGCATATGCATGCTAAGGGTACGAGATAATACAACTGGATCGGTGCACCGACTCCAGGTGGGTGGCCAGCAAATCACCAGACAGCGACAGTCGGATTTGCCAGGTGATGACTTTCCCCAACACACCAGCTGCGGAGTAGGGCGCCGCGCCGGGGCTCGGTTGTTTTGAAGGCAGGACCGACATTCGCCAGATCGGTGTTCTTGCCTTGCTCTTAGAACTCTAACACTGTTCTGAATCCTGACAGGATGTCTGATTCTCACATTCACTATGCAAGAATTCTGCCGTGGCTGTCGAACATGTGGGGCCTCTCGGTGTATTGGCTTCCCATGGTCAGATTGATACAAATGCTTCTGGTGAGATAGCGACTTCACTAATACTCATAAGTACCGTTTGCGCATGTTCAGAACTTAGTAATATACACCAAGAACTTGGGTCACCAAACCATATTGATTCACCTGCCGGCAGTATACTGATTGTTGCCCTAATCTACTCAAGCACAGGAGACGTATCTTGAAGAAGCTCAACCCTGACATCTGGGCGTCTAATGGCGAGACCTAAGGGATGCAGTGACTATATGTTGCACTTGGTGATGTGGCAATGACGTACCACTTGTATCGACCAGATGCTCGGAATACGAAATCACGCCCGACCCTCCAGCCTCTGTAGAAATTCCACACGGCGAGCCAACTGAGGCTTGTACTCCCCATGTTGTGCTGGTCTGAGATCCGGTGGAACGGCTCCGGTGCAAGAGCCTTGAGAGGCTTTCTCCCAGAAGCACGACAGGCAAGCCTTTGCGCCTCGCCAATAACAATGGCGGTTGAGCCTTTCGCATACGCTGCACCGCACCTGATGGATGACTTTAGTTGACGGGTGGCCAATGATGTAATCATAACCATAACCTACCTGAAATTGCACCGCGCATCCAGCGGCGTCCACAAGACACCCGTGCATTGCCGGGTGCTCCCAGATCAAAGCATGTGGAACAGATTGCCCCAATGGCCAGTTCAAGAGATCCTCAACAAGCCGGTTCAGGTCCTCAATCCGCCAAGTAATCTCCCCCTGAAACTCGTATGGAGGAAGCCAAGGTGACACAAATCTCCTGCGAGCTGTGACAGCTGCACTCCCGGCCGACGGCGCCATACCAGGTGACGAGTTCCGCTCAACGCTGAGTTCGACGTATGCGTCAGTCTCGGCGGTTGAGTCAGCGACGATGTCGAAGTTCCAGGTGTTTTGGATCACGCGGGTAGGATCCGGCTGGACCGAAGGTACGATAGTCCGACTGCGTCGCTCCGCAAATAGTTGTAGAACGCCATCGTAGATGTCCTGCCGATGCATCGCGCCATCGCTAGGAATGCTATCTGCAAGCAATTGAGTGACGTTGGATATTGGGGATAGAATGGTAAGCAATTTACCAGCAGCGAACCACCACTGCAAAGGACCAAGCCTACTATGCTCAAGCGCGGCAAGAGGCGGAACTTTAAACTGCCTCGTCGCACTCCTGAACGTACGCATGTACTCCAACATTTCATTAGGGTCCTTGTCAGGAGTGAACATATGAATGATGTCCGCGTCTGAGGAAGGAGAGTGATTTGTCGACAAAGCCTAGTTGGATGTTAATACAGCCCTGCGACCAACCCGAGGGACCACGCACTTGCTCAACCGAAACAAACTTCCAGAGCAGCTGCAACTGTGACGAGCGAACACCCGAAGATACGACGGAAAGGGCCAGGAGGGCATCCAGGGCCGAGAGCAAGCGAAGCAACGAAACCCCCGCCATCGGCGGTGGGTCTCCTCGGTAAAAGCCCTCCAGTTCCGTCTGTAGCAATAGAGGGGTGACCTGATCACCCATAGTACCTGGGCCGCATGCCCGACGAGCACATTCGTCCATGAGGGGAGTTGAGGTTGAGACGGGATGCGGAATAGCAGGGTCCATGGCAGTACGAAATGCGTTCAACAAGGGTGCCATGAGGTGAGCAAATCAGTGACGTGCGTGACAAACAGGTGATTGAGAGGCCCGATTTTTCACACGAGGCCCAATGGCACTTCAAAGCACCGGTCTCAGAATCTTTGCTACGTTGCTTTACTCATGCAAGGGCAGAAGTATATTATCAAGTGAAGTCCCCCATCAACCATCCAATCCTAAGAAAGCCTCAGAATGGTATAGTCGCCTGAGCGAAGAAGGACCAAAAACACCGCCACGGTGAAGTGGATTCGAACCCGCAACTCTGAGTACCTTGAGCACGGGTAATACTACCACTCCGCCAAGGGTGTGTTGTACGCAGGCCCATTGAACGTATGTATAGATCGCGAGTACAGTTGCGCACAAGACACGGCGTTTGTGCCGAACAGGTGTGCAAAATTCATCCCGGCGTTGATGCAAAGCATCGCGGCGTTTCTTTGAAAGCGAGATCATTCCAACCCGAAGAATGTATTTTATTATCGAATCGCGACTGACATCATAAATGTGTTTGTACCAAGACGGGTAGATAGTTAAACTAAGCGCGCGAAACATCGCCGTGGACACGCTTGCGGCGCTTCTTGTTCCTCTTCCATTGAGTGGGTGAATGAGAGTCGGATCGCCGGCGGACATGACGTGAGCGTGAAACGCTTGGGCCAGGCGTTGGCGCTCGCTCAGCAACATTAAGAGGCGGCGAAGGGGGGCGTAGCCGAGAAGGCCCGGCGGCGGGAGGGGGTGAACGAGCGCGCCCAAGGGTTTTCGAGCTCTTAGCGGACGCGCGGCTGGCACCACCGGACGCAGCTCCCGCGGGCTCCTCCGAGGGTTCGTCGAAACTGACAGGCATTAGGTCAGCAATTAGAGTGCGCTTTCTGGCGTTCGTCGTGAGGCTCGGCCCTGGAAGCGAGACATCTGAAAGCGGGCTTTCCTCCCGCTCATTCACGTCGAGCCCATAGATAACGCCAGGCGTTGGCGCCGGCGCCGCAGCACGATCGAGGAGAGTTTGCGGCAAAGTTAAATCTGCGCCTTGGACCGCCGCCGCCGCGCGCATGAGGGGGCTCGAGGCCATCCGAGCGAGAATAAACTGAAGTCTATCCAGCTCGAGTATTTCGCTCTCGGTTCCCTCGAGAAGAACACGCCAGGTCAACAGATTCGCGGCTTCATGCTGCAGCGTGACCCCCAACTGGATTCCAACGGCCGCGTGCAGTTCGCTCATATGCTCAGAGTAAGGTGGCGCCGGCACGGACGAGTCTCTGATGTGCCGCAGCCATTGGTTAAAGTGCTCTGAAGGTATGTTAGTTAAGCCGGGCTTGGACTACGCAACAGATGCACCTGAGTTTTGCAAACCGACGCGAGAGAACGGGGGGGGGATGGGAACGTTGACCCTTAAAGGCGCGGAAGAGGCGTTGTGATTCATGACATACGGCTGGCGGGGAGGGATGTCGGGCATTCGCGGGGCCGCGCGTGCTGACGCCGGCGGTGTTGAAGGGCGCGGCGCTGCATCAGCTGCGGATAATGACGTTAGGTGTTGGAGGGCGAAGAGACGCAGAACGCGCACCAGGAGATGCTATATCGTTGTCAACTTCGTCGCTGCTTTTGTCGTCCTCACTGCCCTGCGCAGGCTCGACAGGCGGAAATAACGGGTCATCATCACTGGCGCTGTCGCTCGGAACATTCTCTCCCTCGGACAACGAGTCGTCCTCAACGCCATCAGTCATGTAGTCATCACTACTGGACAGCTCGATCGCGTCTTGAGCGCTATTACCGGCCATGGGGCGGGCAAGGCGAGGGGAGAAAGCAAATGTCGAAGACAGAAGGTGGTTCGAGTATAAGAAGCGCAAGTGCGCAAGTTTGATGGGGTTCCTCCACGCCCACCCAGCGTCTGAAGCGCCGCTCTCGGGGCTAGCCCTGCGGTGTGAAATACCCCGGGCGCATCAATCAGGGGCGTCGATTCGAAATCCCATCAAACTCTGTGTCGGCGTGCGCCTATAACTAACGCACGCGTCGCTCACGACCCATTACCCTTGCCTTCCGCGTCGACGCGCGCAAGCGCCTTCTCGTCATGCCTCCTCGCGCTTCCTCTCCTGCTGCTCAAGAGGCCACGGAGAGGCTGCGCGCCGAATCGCGTGCGCGCCAGCTGGCTGGCTCTGGTCCTCTGACGGATATCATCGACTCCAAGGTCCTCAAGAGGGAGCTCACCCAGTTTTATCTCGGACAGGAGGGGCAGCAAGGCGCTTCACCTGGCCGCATAGCTCTCAATCGTGCTAAGCGATCGCTGGAAAGTATCGCGGAGGTTGCGAAAGGAGCCCGCCGTATTTCGAAGGCTGTCACGCGTACTTTGTGGGCGCTTTTGCTGGTCGAGTTGGTGTGTAGGCCTGAACGTCGCAATCGGGTGGTCAGTTAACCTAGTGCAGAAATTCGCCAAGAAGCATAATGTGGCTGCCTCTGTGGGGTCCATAGAGCGTTTCCTGCAAACGGTCACGAGCGAGGCTCGGCGCGATAGCAGTTGGGATATTGGCAAGGTTCGGAGCTTACTGGCGAGAGGGTGGCCTGAGGACCAGAACGTGGACAAGCTGAGGACCCGCGAACTCGGCCCTTTACCGTGGTGGTTCGCTATCCGTGCGTCATAGGCTAGCTTCCCACAACTTGCACTGACATTGTGTGCAATTTAGCTGATCTGAAAGACAAAGAGCCTGTACGGCGTCAGAACATTTACGACTCCGTTTTTCGCCTGCCACCATCTACGGCGACTTCCCGCATCCAACCTACCTCTACCACGTCGCGTTCGGCGAGCAGTCGTCCTGCTCGGGAGGCTGCTGGCGCTACGAATGCCGCGCTTCGTGGCGCTATCATTCTCGACGACGACGGCGACGGAACTTACGCCCCCGAGAACGCCGCAGCGTCGGCGTCGCCCAACGAAGGAAGACAGGTCACACCCTGGCGTTTCGGCAGTGATACAGCTGCCCCGTTCGCTGTTGATATGCCGCCCACCGCGCCAACACTACTTCCCTCCACCGCGCCGCCACTACCTCCGCCTCCCGCGCCACCTCCTGGCGCATCGAGGCGCACTCAACCGTCGCCTTGGCTCCCGCCGGGCGGGTTCACAGTGGATCTCAAGTGGAACATTTCCGACTACCACGCCCACAAGCGCATGTTAAAGAAATGGCCTCGGGGTCAACACATACCGGACGGCCCAGTTTGGGAGCATCCCAACGCACACGGATTGAAAGTCCTCGCAGACGGTCTACCTCTCACGAATAAGGTCAGCTTCGATTGTTGTTTCTCAACGCATCGACTCTGTTCTCACGAATGACCGATAGAAACCTTGCATCAACTGCAGCAAACGGTTTTACATTTGTATACCCCGCGGATCGAAAGCTTGTCTACCGTGTTACTGGGAGAAGGGTAGTCAGGGCAAGTGCGAAGGTTACGAAGCACCAGATGGCGTAGTGGAGAAGCCGGACTACAAGATTCGCTTGCAGTATCTGCGGGAGCTTGACGAAGCGGGCGTGTACCCTTTCCCGCATCATTACTTGTACGAGGATGGTACGTTCGTTGGCCTGACGCGAGTGGAAAATATGTTGACCTCGCAATGCAGGGAGGGCCGTGGCTGTTTGTTGAATCGAGATTGCCACGACAAAGTGCTTTTATTGTTGTGACAATAGTCACGACAACTGACCTTTGTTGTTGTAGAATCGGATTGCCGTGCACGGTTGTTGCTTGTAATTTGGGTTGCCGTGCACGGTTGTTGTTGTAATTTGGGCTGCCGTGGCCATTCTTGTAGCTCCCATTTGCCGCGCCGCGTTGTAGCTTGTAATTTTCAGCCCTCGCGCACCGTTGTTGTGTAGCTTGGGCCGGGTTTCCCGACCGCAGACCCGGGATGCTTCCGATCCCTCCCGGCCGTTCGTCGCCTGGTCGCGCCCGCCATCCGCCCGCCAGGATACAATACGGCTATTACTATACTAGGTGCGTCACTCACTACTGCATTGCACGAAAGGTACTGATGTCTGCTTGCAAATTGGGTGCTGGGCTTTCTGCGGGTTTGCTGGCGGTACCGGCCAGTGAAAAACTGCCCGAAATACGTGCGTTGGTAGCCACTATTCGCTACGTATCACTGACCTACCAGCTTAGGCTACCTCCGACAATGCTAGATGCGCTCTACGGCGAATTTCTGCCGCTCTCGCATTCCTCTGCTGTTCTCGCATGCCCGCGCTGGCCCCTCCTTCGTTTCCCCTCCCTCGTTTCCCTCCCTCATTCCCCCAGCAACTTCCTCATTTCCCTATACTTATCAAATAACCATGGACTCATAGTTTCCGTATACCGGTGCTCCAGACAGTCTACCACCTGCCACGTAGTTTGCCGCGCGGCTAGCCCCTTCGGCTCAGTGCACACCTCATATCCCCTCCGTACTTCTGTTCCCCCCTTTCAATACGTGTCTTAAATTGTGCAATTGAACGTCGATTCGAACGATCTATATGATGCTGAGCCGTGCATGCTGAAGAGCAGTGCGACAAGAAAGCCCAGGCGGCGAAAGCCTCAACGGGCGAAGTCTCAGGTCTCAATTGCTAAGTCGCGCGGTCTTCTTCACATTCGCGCGGGTGATCGGGCAAGCCTTGATATGTATATATCAAGGCCGTATCTCGAGTATATACGAGGTATGCTAATGATTACATAGTACTTTAAGCTCAAACTACGCATCCGACTCCCCACTGTCACCGTCCTCCGCCTCGTCATCCCCGCGCTCGATTCCCGCAATCCGATTCGATACCTCCACTGGGCGAGCGTTCTCGCTGTCCGTGTCCGACTCGTCTGATGATACAGACCGATCATGGTCGAGGGCCGTCGGTGTCGCGCCGTCAGCAGACTCGGGAAGCTCCTGCGAGTCCCACAACGCATCGCCGCACCGATTCGCCCACAAGTCGACACGTCCGTGCTTGCGAAGGCAGGGCTGCCAGTGTTTGACATACATGTTGGCCATGCGATTGGCGGTATCGGCTTGGCGGCGAGCATACGCGTCGAGGCCGGATGCGATATCAGACGTGACCTGGTGGCGACGGCTCCCACAGCGCGAAAGCCACCAACGTGCACGATGATCGAAGTGGCGGACACCACTATCCATCTCGACCTCCAGCTGGTTAACTTCTTCGCGCCACCGATCCACTCGCGCATGCTGTATAATGTATTCGACGCGCATACCTATTTTTCGTTTATCAGTAAGTGCATCAGATAATGAGGAGATGAACTAACATTCATCGACCTCCTCCTGAGTGACGGAATCGTCACCGACAGGCATATCCGCCACAGTATGCGCTATAGTGCGCCAGATCCAACTCATCTCCGCGCGACCACTACTTTGCAGCTTTCGCAGTTGAGTGAGAGACGGCGCGGCGGCGTTTGACGGTGTCGATAAGGAAGGCGGTGACGAGGGGTCGGGGATGGTGTGCGACGACGGGGAAATGTCCGAAGAACCAGCCTGAAGTAAGATGTCAGCATCTATATAGCATAGGTAGCGGCCTGAATCGTACCTGAGCAGTAGCCTCGTCCTGCAGTAAGCGTTGACGAGTCTGGCGTGCACGACGGCGATCCTCCTCTGGGTTATCGCCCACATCGTCGGCGCCAGGTAGTCTCAAGTCCGTCCGCTTTAATTCGCGCAGCTGTGCCGTCCACTCGCCGTCAGGGGAGAGCAACAGTAGCGCGGCGCGTGTCGCTCGATAGCGCTCAACATGGCGATTGAGCTTGCTTTCGTGATCAGCGATCAGTGAGCGAGCGCGCGACGTTCTTGCATTGCTGGGTCCTTCGGCTTGTACATGCTTGTAGTGCACAAGACCGAGCTTGACGCGAAGGCAGCGGCGAACGTGATGAATGGCGTCCAAGGCTTGAGCAACGCGCAGACGCTCTTCCTTTGCAGCGATATCGCCCAGGCACATAGCGCGTTGTGCGTCCGATAGTGAAGAAGGCAGGAATAGAGGCGCGCGCTCGGGGTACAGCCACTCGTCGTCGCTCGTCGTGTGCGAATGCTCGGACAGCAAACGGGACACGAACGGCATGTAAACGTCTTGAAGCCGGCGCCACGAGTCGATACGATGCTGCAACTTATTTCGCTTCTCACGCAGAGATACCTTGTCGGTTAAAGCGTTCGACTTTTTGGCGGCGGTGGCTGAGATGCTGCGCCTATGATCTAGTGAGCTATCATATCGACTGGTTTTAGGCATTGTAGCGTACTGTTGCTCCTCAAGTTCGAGGCCAACCATGATGAAGACGCTGCCACTCGTCTCGTGCGGCGGCAAGATGCCTTTCTTGACCTCCTCCGCCTCCTCGTGTTGGAGCGCAAGCTTGACGTCATTCATAGACGTGGCTAAGGAACGATAAGCATATGAATCAATTGGATTAAAGGTGCATGTATACGCACGCATCTCCTTCTCCTCGTACGGGTTCTTGTTCGTGAGCTTCGCCTCCCAGGTGCGCACTTGCTGCATCCATCCAGACCTGAGGTCCTCAGGGAATACGCCGTCGAGCTCTCCCAGGATCGTGCCCTGCTTCGTGCGATAGAGAATAGCGTCGTTGAAATTGATGACCAGCAAGGTACCTACCAAGTGGGTTGAGAAGGTTAACGGACGACAAGAGACGATAGACGGACGTACAGTTGCGGACCGTCTTGTGCCAGTTGATATTCGACATGACATTCTCGAGCGTCTCATGCCGCGAGAAGAATGCCATCTCGCGCGAAGAGAGCGCGACCGAATTGAGCTCGGCCCAGCCGGCTTCAACGATCTCCCCGTGCGTACGACCGACCCAGCGCGTGTATGCCAGATTCAGCCAACCCCGACACCTGGGCCCATGGCCGCGAAGATGGAACTTCGGCACAGCCCAGACGATGTGCATCGACGAGAGGTCAATGCGCAAATGCTCCGGATACCGCTCCATACGCGTCGGGAAGTTGACGCTGTACGAGCAGGCAATATCGTACGTAATGAGAATCTCGTCTATGTCGTGGGCGTAGATACCCAAGACGCTAAGAACGAGAAAGTCGATCGGCGAGAATCTGAACAAGCGGTCAACAACAGGAGTGGTGTATAGGAGAAGGTAAGGACTTACTGTTCACCAAACTTGAGATCGCCGGTGCAGTGCCGAAGGTAGTACCCGTGGCGCGAGCATACACACGACACGATGCCATTGACAGAGAAGCGCTTCTGTGAGGGCGTCTGCGCGTGGTCTACAGCCGCGAAATTCGAATCGCAGTACTTGGCCTATATAATATCAGCCATTGTTGCTGACTGGAGGTGAGCGGAGATATTACCTCAGGCTCATGGCCGTACTTCTTGAAGTGTTCCGTGTAAGGCGCATTGGGCGCGAAGTAACTCCAGCCGTCCTGTAGCGGAACATCGAGAAGATTGCGGTTCTTGAGCTTCGCCTTGAAGTTTCCATCGATCGCGATCTTGAACGAGTAGTAGTGCCTATATGGGGTGAGTAAGTTGTACACAGATGGCACGAAGTGATACTGACCACATCTCCTCGGGAATCGTAGCTGGATCAGGCGTATTCTCGCCCATCCGTGGACAGAGCGGGCACTCCACGATGACTGACGGAGGCTGGCCTTGTGAGGAGAGACCGGCAAAGCCGTCCGGATCGTGTGCGCGCCCGGCTAGACAACCATTCCGAAGGTTCTGGTAGCAACGGACAGCACGCGCGAACTCCTTGTACCGATACTGTTCAATTCGACGTGAGCCAAGAACAGGGATAAGGGACTATCATCCTTACCTTCGGAGGACGGGTACCCGTATTGTCGGTCAAGCGATGAAGGGCGGTGTAGTAGTCGTACATGTTCGTGCGCCCGGTGGCGTTGAGAGAATAGTAGTGTTCCAGAAGGCTGAACGTGAGCACAGTACGAGGCTCAACGTTCGTAGCAGGCCACCAGCAGACACGGAGGAGTTGAGTGACCTTCGCGTTACTGTCGAGCGTGCCACATGCACAATAGTTCACGCGTACGCTAGCCACAGTGAGCACATCGAGTACGGTAAGAAGTCCTTGACGCGGGCGGGGATTGGGGCAGCTAAGACCATCGTGACCGAGTTGTATCACGAGACCGGCCTCGGCGAGAGTGTATACGTCGAAGAACTTCTTTTGCGGGCACCATCGCTGTGTGGCGCGATGAGCTACATCATGTCATGTAGAAGAACGGACCATGCTAACCTTTACGGTATGAGTTGGGTTCTCGTGGTGCTTTGATACAAGACAACCCTCGCAGATAAATTTGAGACCAGTACAATGAGTACACCAAGTGTTGCCGAGACGCTTGAAACATAGACGGCAAGGCGGCAGAGAGCGGTGAACGCCAAGACCCTCATGACGCATTTTTTCGTCCGCATAATGCTCACGTTCTTCGTCGCGCCAGTCCAGGATACCGTGAACCTGGAGAATAAGCGTAAGTCGTAATCATCTATGTACAGATATCGACATGCTCACGTTCTTGTTACTCTTCTGGCGCGCCTTCTTCGTCGCTCGTGGAGGCGCCGAAGAGGCTGGAGCAGGAGAGGCCGACGCGGGGGTTGCCTGATTGTCCGTGCCTTGCTGAGCGTCCGTACCTTGCTGAACTTCAGCGTGGGCGGCAGCCTGAGCGTGAAGAGCCCATGTTGTTGCATAGAAGGGGTCGTCTTCGCCGTCGTCCGAGTGTTCGTCGTCGTTCGAGTGTTCGGTGTCATTCTCAGTCCGTGTGACCTCAACGTGTGCGCGAGTCGAGCCAGCAGGGACAACGAAGCTAGTATCCGTAGTAGTGGTGGGGGCAGCAGTGGCTGGGGTGGCGTCGTCGCTGCCGGCCTCGACAATAACACGTCGCTTGCGTTTTGCCATAGGAGTGCGTCGGTGACCGCAGGCTATCCTACCGCAACGACTTTAAGGGATCCAACGAGAATATGCTGATAGGGGTCAGACGTAAATATACACAATCTTCGCGCGGGATAGAGGATCACGTACAGGAACTTCCAGTTGGCGAACACCATACACGTTGCTACACGCAAGGGCCTGTAGACCAGACGGTACCGCCAATGAATGATCTTGGCGGAGTTCAGCTATCAGTCTCAAGGAAGCCGAGAACGGGCGGAGACGTACCGCTTGTAGAAGCGTGGTATACGCATGCTGATAGGCTGTTGTTGGGAGTTGATGTTGAGAAACGAAGTGAGCGCGCTGGCGCATTGCGCGGCTTCGGCAATTGCCGTTCTCTTCCGTCTCTCGCTGCTCACCCTCATAACGTATCATATTCGGGCACTCTTAGCAGCTGGCAATCACTCTGGGTAACGAAGTGCTCCGTCTTGTCAAGTAGACATCATCTGAAGTGAGAAGAATAGCATATAGCTCATGCTGGGCCCCAATTGTGCCGTACCATGATCTACCGTGAGGTCTGACGGCGGCGAAAACCAACGTCATTCACAAGGCAGAAGTACGAGCGTTCGATCAGCTGTAGCATATGACGAAAGCGCACCCGGGCTCATCTCCACCGATGGTCAACGTACAATACACGTCTGCAAATGGCTGTGTGGCTGGTTTCGAACGCGCCGAAAGCTTGCATCTGGGCACGAGTTGCACTATTTAGCACGTACGACAAATGTGATTGGGCATGCAGGGTCCTGAGCGGAGTCCCCTGTTCTTCTTGGCTGTGTCTGTATCGTAATGTAATCGCGCAGTTTGTGCGAGACAGTTAATCACGCATGTCTGTAGGCAGGTTGCTTGACTAGCGACGAGTCTCGACGCGCATGCTGCACAGACGACGCTGGATCTCGATTCTTCCCTGCGTGTCATCTCCCCTTCCTCATCTCAAGGGTAGCATTCTATCTTGAGACTGCTGATCAGTTGAGCGAGAGGTAGCTCATGAAGACACAATCATCTACTCAGACTCGGGACGCAGACCACAGAACTTCAGCAGGCAGCCCATACACATCCATGCTCAACGGTGCAAGGTCAAGTTCGTAGACTCGAGTACTAATGCCCCCCACCACTTCGTGTACTATACATTACAAGCACTCTCTGCATCACCTAGACTACCCTTACTCGTACATACATAAATTCCATAGCGCGTAGTCATTCCGATTTCGCTACGCAGTTCTTTCGCTCGCAGACAGAAAGATGAGTAGATTCCATCGTTGGCGCTGTGGCCTCGACTACTCACAGACTGCTGGCATACTGCGCTACTTTACACGATCCAGCGGAGTATTGCATGCATTGTATAGTAATACTGTCTGCAATATAGGTGGGAACTGTAACTAAACGGCTAGATGCCGACTTTGCCTTCATAGTACGCCCTGAGCCACGAGCGAGCCAGTTCCTCCTCACGGAAACCCATGCGCACAAATCCGGGGAACTCTTTGCACTGCCTGGTAGCGTAGTCGGCGCTAAAGCGGTGCATCAGTAATTAATTCAATCAAGAAGATGGACGGAGACGAACTCATCAAATACGCCAGTATGTCTGCCGCGGGCGACAGCGTGCCACTTCCAACCGCGCTTCGGCGTGTTTCCGCGAAGCACCTTCCAGTCACGAGAGAGAGGTGCAGCATTAGCAACACCGGCAAGCAGCATATCTCTCATGGCACGCTCGGAGACAGCAGTGGCAGCCGGAGAGGGCGGCGGAGCCAGAGCAGACGTAGTGGCCCGAGAGCCAGTAAATACAGGGCTCTCAGTGCGACGCGGGGCCGCCTGAGCACGCGAATAACTGAAGGGCAAACCGAGTGGAGCAGGCGAAGGAGACGCTGAAACCGGGCGAACAGGAGTACGGGGTACGGAGGTGATCGGTGCCGGGGAACTGGACTGCGCATGAGGCGCGCGTGTGCCCGGGGCAGCTGCCGCCGAGCCCCGACGGGTGTCTTGTGTAGGCGCAAGCGTACGTATTCCAGTATTCGTGTACGTCTGTCGGTCACGGCGGCCGCCATCCGCAGAGAGGTTGAGCCTCTCCATTAGCGTGGAGAGCCTGTGCGGGTCCGAGGCTTGTACAACATCGTTTGCTTCCTGGAACATATTGTAGCGCTGGCATTTGTACCGGCATCCTAGGTCATCCAGCGTCGGTTGGAGGAGACCCCTTAAACTGATCAGCTCAAGTGAAACCAAAGAAGACAAGCATATCTTACCAGTTGCAGTACACGCCTCGGATCCGGTCGTCGGTGCACGCATAATATTTAGAGTGTCCGGGGATCGGCCCCTCGACTAGGCCCAAGTCGAGTTCTGTAGCTAGTAAGCGCGATCTACATTGCGGAAAAGATCATTCGCTTACTTGCTTGGTACGCTTCAGCCTCCTGTTCCCGCTGTTCATTGCGTTGAGCATTCGTAGAGACCATGGTCGCAGGAAGCAGGGCGTGTACTCCATCTACGCGAAGCATTTTGACGTGCGAGAAATCACCAGGGACCAATGGAGGCGGGTCGCGCGGGGGTCTGGCCATACACGTTGTAAATACCGCTTACAAGGTGGGATTATTGCACGTACCTCCGGAATTTATCGCGCAATCTAGCCGAGTGACCGTAGTTCTAATATATGGCTCAAACGCGGCCCCCGCGACCGCTTGTCCTGCTCGCCGAGTTCAGTTTCTCTCACTGTCCATCATGGCATTAGGCGACAACTTCACCTGGAACTGGCTCGTCGACGAGACGCCAACTTTCTGCGGTGCTCGAGGGCAGGGCCCACAAGAGCTCAAGGTGCATTGGCCCGGTCTTAACCTGCGCTTCTTCGCCGCCTTCCCTCACCTCGACGTACTACATAAACCGGGACAGCCCCCTATTCGCAAGGTAAGTTAGCGTCGCTAACTCGTGCAGACGAAGAGAGGCTGACGTACATGTAGCGATTGAAGACTTGGCTTAACAACCATGGACGGCCGGGGGCACTTGCTCTACGTTACAAGCCCGTCAACGGCGTTGGCCCACTTCATCCCGCGCACAACCCCCAGAACATGCCCGCTGCAGTCATAGCCGACGCGGACGTACCACCGGCACCAGCCGACACCAACCCTGCACCAGCGGACGCTCTCGGGCTAACTCTCGATGCTCCGCCACCAGCACCGATGCCGGCCAACGTGTCTATAGCTACTCCCACTGGGGAGTTGGCGGATGGTACACTGGCTCATCCACCGGTCGAAGGGCCAGCACTAGCAGCGCTCCCAGCGCTGTCAGCGTCCCTGCCAGCACAGCCCGGACAGTTTGACTCCGGCGAGCCTTTACATCCCGTCGACGATGGTACCGTCCCTCCCGGAGGTGCGGACACCAACCCTGCCTCCAGCGCGGGCAAGGCAGCAGCCGCGACGACCACGGACATGACGATCACCGCCACAACTGCGGCTGCTTCGCCGTCTACATCACCATCGACGACGCGCATCCTCGTGGGACCTTCGACAAACGGCGAGCAAGTCAGTATCATTGGCACGCACGTACCCGTCGTCGACAATACGGCGTTGAAAGGCAAAGGGCGCGCAGGCCCTCGCAAGCGACGCACCAAGAAGGAGGATCCCTTCAAGATGGGCCGACAGAAAAACGCCGCCGAGATATATTACGACTATTACTTTGACAAAGTAATATCGGACGAAGCGAACAAGACCTTCGACGGCGTCCAGGACAAGTGGCTGCAACACACCATCGCCATTGGGAAGGCCCTCTACGCCAAAGCGGAACCAAGAGTGCGTCAGCGTTGCGAGGCCATGGCGGCGGGAAAACCAGATCCTTGGGGCAAGCCGGCTGGCATGCACGATGAAGAGTACGAGCGCATTGCAAAGCTGGAGCGCATGGAGAAGTAAGTTAGCTTCTCGTGTACTCGGCGATGAACATGGCTAACATCACTTACAGGCTACTCACCGCCGCTGGTCCGAAGTTCACCAAGATCCTCGACGAGTTCTGCAGCAAACTCGAGGGAGAAGCTGTCGCTAGTTTGTTTATCGCCGCGCGTCAGCCAAGCAAGGGCGGTGAAGTTCAAACATTCACGTACATGTTGTTCATTGTGTTCGTGGCGTGCTTGTGCTGACGCGTATGTTAGCTGGCATACGGAGCTACCAGATGGTCGGAACTTCACGGGACTCAATAACTTCCGCGAGCTTGTCAAAGACAAGCATAAGGAGTTCGGCCAGGCTGTTTTTCGTGAGTCAATCGTCTTAACATTGTACATGGCCGCGTACTCACTTGCAATCAGCTTCCCACCTTGCACCGGCATGGGCTTTGCCAGGTACTGAGAGAACAACGGTTGACGCGGTAGCTGGACCGTCCCGCGCCAATAGCGTTGGTGCATTTTCGCGCGCGTCGAGCCTAGCCCCGCGTGGCAGAGTTGCGCCGTCGCGCGAGCAGAGCCTAGCGCTCGAATGCCCGGAGAACGTCCATACGGATTATAGCCCTCCGCTGCCAGACTCCTTGCCACCGACACCATCTCCGTTGCCCTCGCCCTTGCCGTTTCCTACCCCGGAGACCGTCGCTGTGCAGCTCCCTCCGATCCCGATTATAGCCGAGGAAGACATCGAGATGTTGACCCCCGACCATGCCGAAGGTTCAAGTCTTGAAGACGACGAGGGTGACTGGGAGGATGAGAGCGATGATGAGTACCCGGGAATACCGAAGACGAGGGAGAACGGCTCACGATACTCGGACGTGGAGCGCAAACGCATGTTCAATATCGACCGCAACAAGGGTCTTCTTGATGCGCTGAGCCTCCGTCACGCAGCCAGCAAGATGATGGCGGGTGTCACGAGCAAGACGGCATCGGGGAGTAAGGCAGCGAAGAACGCGAAGACCAATAAGCCAGCGAGTTCAACGCCCGCTCGCCCGCGCTCGCACCCAGTACCCATTCGCACGATACAAACCCGCCGCTCTGGCAGAGTTGTCAGCCCTTCGTCCCCTTTGGTGAATGAGATAGTGGATGGAGACGTACCGGTCGCGTCCACCGCTGATGGTGGGAACGGGAAAGAGGATGCGAGCAATGTAGAGGGCGCCATGGACGTCGACGCGGAAACTGCATCGAGTGCTCATGGGACCCAGGCACCATCCACGCCCGAGCGGTCAACAGCTAGCGCCTCCACGCCCGGCGCGCCTTTGACACCCAACAACCTCGTTGTCCCTACGCATGCGCCGATCTCGCCTACTCCCGCGCCGAGAGCCACCTCTCCCGTGCCGAGGGTCACCTCTCCCGCTCCGAAGCTGCCCGTTACGGGTGGATCCTCGCTTGCGGGTGTAACGCAACGCCCGCAGTGGTTCCGGGAATACCATACGTTTATGTCGGACGCTATGAATGGTATTGGCGGGGAGAGCGGTCCACTGGCGAACACGCAAGGGGCCTGGGGAAGGGTGGAATTATTCTGGGAAATGAGTGAGCTCTCGAACGGGTTTGAGTTAGGCGTACGTACATTTATGCCCATCTTCTGCGATCGTCTCACTGACTGTTCGAGTAGAAAAGCGCCGCGTACCGCCTTTCTACGGCCGGGCGTCCCGCTGTCTTTCAAAAATGGCAGAGCTCGGGGCGGAGAGATAAAGAGACAAATACGCTCACCATACCGGACATCGAGGACCTATCAGCGTTCACGGAGGAGGCTCGTCAATATTGGATGAGCCTTCAGCCTGCCTTCCGTCGCCCTACGGATGGCAGCGATTGGCCGCCGGTTATCGTTGCCAACCATGGCGAGATTGAGTTCGCGCAGTTGCGCAGATACGGGACGTCGGGCTTGTTGGTGGTGTTGCTGTTGATCTTGTGGTGGAGAAACGCCATTACGGAGAGTGATGGACGTGGCCGCAAAGAATGGGTGTCCTTTGTAGAGGACGTAGCTTGGGTGTTGGGCGAGATGATGCGCACGGAGAAGGAGTTCAAGGCGCAAGTCGGCGAGAAGCGCGCGGCGGTTGAAGACGCGACGTCCTCTCCGGCCACTAAGCGGTATTTATATACTTCATCGTCCTCGTAATTCACACTGCTCATTGATATACTCTTCAGGTCCCGCCCCCTTTCGCGCGCGTAGGCATCAATACGGAGTTTCCTCTCACATCAAGTTCAACTTAGACACTTTTGATCCCTCTTTCCCTCTCACGATTACTACACGGTTAATTTCTTAGTAGTTTAGCGCCACTTAATGCTATGGGGATTTTTGTTGCAGACAGAGCGAGACTGAGAACTGGTAGCAAGTTCGTGCAGATACATATATATTGAGCAAACGAGTTATGCTACCGAGGTACAGAGTAATAGTAAGGATGAGGGAGGGGCACCTACTTCAACACTGTTCTCTCGTCCCCTCTCGTCCCCTCTCATCTGCTTTCGTCCGCTTTCGTCCGCACGCGCGAGCGCAAGGTAGAACCGCCAGCAGGCCGCGCAGGTGGCCATAGAAGGCGCGTGGGAGAGCAGCCCGGAGTGGGCTAGAAGTGGCGCCCAGGGAGCGGCGGGGAGCAGGGACTACGGCAAGTGGGTGAACAGTATCTGTAGCAAGATGGGTGCACAATACACATCGTCAAAAGCAGCTAGGTGAGGGCCCGGATGGCGGTAAGG